AAAGGAAAGGAAAGGAAAGGAAAGGAAAGGAAAGGAAAGGAAAGGAAAGGAAAGGAAAGGAAAGGAAAGGAAAGGAAAGGAAAGGAAAGGAAAGGGCAACCCCAACTTGCTGCCATCGCACTTTGCACAGCGTTACCACAAACCTCACGAAAATACATAATTAATGGCGCCACAAGCAGCACAGCCTCGTTTCCCCGGTGGCCTCACGGCTCTGCACCGCGCGCCTTCCAGCCGCGGCCACGCGCGGGGAGCGCCGCCCGCCCCGCTGGGGACAGGGTGCCCGCCACGTGTGAGGGCTCCCTGTCCCCGTCCCCGTGCCGGCGGCTCTGCCCGCTCCTCCGGCCGCGCAGCAGATGCAGGGCAGCAGAGAGGCCGCGGCAAAACGTTTGCAGCTCCGTTGCTGACATTGCAGCAGCCTGTGTTGCGGCCGGGGCACTGCAGGAGGCCTGGGCACCCAGGGGCTCAATCCGAATAAAAACGTGCAGGGGAGTCACCGAGGGTCCTCGTGCTCAGCGCAGGGAGCAGTGGGAGGGCAGGCCTGCTCCGGGAAGGCAGCTTGGAGCTGCTCCTGGTGCCGCACACGTTCCAGAGCCTCCTGTTTCAGTGATCTCATTATCGGGTTGTTCCAGAACCACCAGGCAAAACGCAGCTCCAGAGAAGATGCCGGGGGACAAGCAGAAAGCCCCGTATCACCTCAGAGAGAAGCTTCTTCTGCTGTCTCGGCCTTAGGCATGGATGACACCTCGGCGTCCGCGGGGTATTCCCCGCCACACATGGAGAGGAAGATGAGTGCGATGGCTTGCACGGTCTTCAATGAACTCCGCCTGGAAGGAAAACTCTGTGATGTGATCATCAAAGTCAATGGTTTCGAATTCAATGCTCACAAGAACATCCTGTGTAGCTGCAGCCCTTACTTTAGGTCAGTGCTTGAAAGGAGCCTAGAGGGGACAGAGGGGACGAGCTGTGTCCTCTCCGCAGGCCGTGCCCCTGTGCCAGCAGTGCCTGCAGCCCTCGTGTGTGCCCGGGGCCAGAACTGAGCTGCGAACACTGAGCAGCGCTCAGCAGGGCCCCGCGCGCTGCAGCCGGTGCCCGGGGCGGTTCGGGCCAGGGGACGCACGGAAGGGGCAGCTCAGACGGAGCAGGGACTCATTGTCCTTTCATTTTTCCAGGGCTTTGTTCACCAGCGGCTGGAACAACACGGAGAAGAGAGTGTACAACATCCCTGGCATCTCGCCCGACATGATGCGGCTCATCATTGAGTACGCTTACACCAGGACAGTGCCCGTCACGGCGGACAATGTCGAGAGCCTGCTGGCTGCCGCGGACCAGTTCAACATCATGGGCATCATCCGAGGCTGCTGCGAGTTCCTCAAATCCCAGCTGTGCTTGGAGAACTGCATCGGCATCTGCAGGTTCACGGACTACTACCACTGCCCCGACCTGCGGCAAACGGCCTACATGTTCATCCTGCACAACTTCGAGGAGATGACCAAGGTGTCCACCGAGTTCCTGGAGCTCTCGGTCAATGAGCTCAAAGACATCATTGAGAAAGACGAGCTGAACGTGCGGCAGGAGGACGCCGTGTTCGAGGCCATCGTGAAGTGGATCTCGCATGATCCCCAGAACAGGAAGCAGCACATTTCGGTCCTGCTGCGCAAGGTCAGTGTCACCGCGTCGCCTCTTCGTGCCTGGTGGCACTGGAGAGCGGGGACAAGAGCTGCTTTGTTCTTCTCGTATGAAAACGGAGGAAAGGACAGACCCAGCACTCAGGACAGTCCCAGCACTCAGGTCACGGAGCAGGGAGGGCCCTGGCTCAGGAGCTCTTGCTTGCTGGGCTGGGGCTTTCTCTCCACGCGTGTTCTCCATGTTCAGAGCTCAGGAGGGGGGAATCAAAGGGCTCCCGGGCAGCAGCATCTCCAGGCACACGGGCTGAGCAGCACCCAGTGCTCGGCCGGCGCCAGAGCAGAAGCTCTGAAGGAGCCGTAGGTTCCATGAGATGATCTAACCTCGTACCGCAGTGGTTGAAGTTACCCATTTAATTCCCCCTCAGCTTTAGACCTCTCTGAAATGAGGCCCATCCAGGGTCGGACACATCCCTGGGGATCCCGAGACGCAGAGCACCAGCACAAAGGGTGTAATCCCCTCTTTCCCTTTCCAGGTCCGCCTGGCGCTGATGCACGCGGAATACTTCATGAACAACGTGAAAATGCACGATTACGTGAAGGACAGCGAGGAGTGCAAACCCGTCATCATAAACGCGCTGAAGGCGATGTACGACCTCAACATGAACGGCCCGTCCAACTCGGACTTCACGAACCCGCTGACGCGGCCTCGCCTGCCCTACGCCATCCTCTTCGCCATCGGTGGCTGGAGCGGGGGCAGCCCCACCAACGCCATCGAGACGTACGACGCGCGCGCCGACAAGTGGGTGAACGTCACGTGCCAGCAGGAGAGCCCCCGCGCCTACCACGGCGCCGCGTACCTCAAGGGCTACGTCTACATCATCGGCGGCTTCGACAGCGTCGACTACTTCAACAGCGTCAAGCGCTTCGACCCGCTGAGGAAAACGTGGCACCAGGTCGCGCCCATGCACTCGCGGCGCTGCTACGTGAGCGTCACCGTGCTGCACAACTTCATCTACGCCATGGGCGGCTTCGACGGCTACGTGCGCCTCAACACGGCCGAGCGCTACGAGCCCGAGACCAACCAGTGGACGCTCATCGCGCCCATGCACGAGCAGCGGAGCGACGCGAGCGCGACCACGCTCTACGAGAAGGTGAAGCCGCGCCGGGCGCCGCGGGCCGGCACGGTTGGGGTGTTGCTTCGTGGTGAGCGGGATGAGGAACCGAACCCGAGGCTGGTTTGCAAGGGTCTGGTTGTTCCGTGCGGCCTGCATCGTGGTTGGGACGTTCATAGGGCTCCGTTGGGTGGCGTGCTCCCGCGCTCAGCTACCACCCAGACCCGGCTGGGCTGGACTGGGGAGCTGTGGAAGCAGGGATGGAACAAATGCTCCCCTTAACGTGGCAAATAATTTAACATCAAGGGGGAGAAAGTCCACGTAGGGCTCACTCGTGAGCTCCTGGCGCAGATACCAAGTTCTCCGAGGTGCCGCCAGCGGCTGGTGGGGCGGGTGGGAGCCTTGAGGCTCCTCCAGGGCTGTTCAGCCCCAAGAGGCCACTTGTTGCTGGGGATCCTTCTCCCGGCCCCGGGTCAGGCTCCATTCCGAGGAGCTTGCTGCAGTTCAGCATGCGGCAGCTCCAAGCCCTGTTGCTCTGGATAGCTCCCTGCCCTTGCATTACTACAGACCCTGAATGGACAGGGCTGCTCCCAAACGAGAGAAGCGTTCCGGGCCGGGCCGCTTTCTCCTGCGGGTATTCACTGCCCATCACATAAATACACCCACATCTCATCCCTGGGAGCAGGTTTATATCTGCGGTGGGTTCAACGGCAACGAATGCCTGTTCACGGCCGAAGTGTACGATGCCAAAACCAACCAATGGACCCTCATAGCGCCCATGAGGAGCAGGAGGAGCGGGATAGGCGTCATTGCCTACGGAGAACACGTCTACGCGGTAAGGGGGACCCACTGAATGCGGCCGTTGCAGGAAACGTTTCTGCTGGCGCCAGAGCAGGGGAGCAAGGTGTAGGAGGGGGCAGCACCTTGATGCTTTGAGACCACGTTAGGTGAGACCACATTAGGTCCCAGCAATAACCGGAGTCCGTGGAGCAGGATGAGGTGAAACCCTAAGCGTGGCACGAGGACGGAGCCGCCGCGCTCTGGGGGAGGAAGGGCCCCTTTCAGCTCCGCTCCTTTGCAGGTAGGAGGCTTCGATGGAGCCAACAGGCTCCGGAGCGCCGAGGCCTACAACCCCGTGGCCAACACGTGGCGCACCATCCCCACCATGTTCAACCCGCGCAGCAACTTCGGCATCGAGGTGGTCGACGACCTGCTCTTCGTGGTCGGGGGCTTTAACGGCTTCACCACCACCTTCAACGTCGAGTGCTACGACGAGAAGACGGACGAGTGGTACGACGCGCACGACATGAGCATCTACCGCAGCGCGCTGAGCTGCTGCGTGGTGCCGGGGCTCTCCAACGTGGGCGACTACGCCGCGCGGCGCGACAACTACGTGGAGCCGGCGCAGCGCGACGAGGTCAAGTTCACTTCTTCAACAAGCACCCTACCCGTCTAAACAGCTCTACTTAGCTAATAAGGTCTTCTAAGCAGGACGTGAATGTATTCACTTATTCTAAAATAAAAGCAACTGATACAAGCCTGGAAGAATGGTTAGTGCTTAAAGCTTTCGTTCTCCGGAGCCCCCGGATTTGTGATTTGGAGGTACCTCTCCCGGCCCGGGTAGCACCTTCAATGAAAGGCACGGGCTGCAACACAACGCTAGAGAAATAAAAGGTTTATTTTCAGTAAGTCACTTATGACAACCAACTTTAGTACAGTGTATTTGAAGCACAGGACAGTAACACTTGTTTCAAAGCGCCTACCCACGGGCATTACTTTACCTTAAGGAAGCAGAGGAGAGCGGCTGGGCCGGGCACTGTGCTGAGGTCTACGCGGACGGGGGCAGAGGGGAGAGCTGCCGCCGTCCAGGAGCATCTGGCTAGTAATGGTCTTCACACAGCTAGTTAGATCTGTGTTTTACATCCGTATTCCTAACAGGATTCGATCCTCCGGAGTGCCTGTATTAGCAGACTTCTGCTTCGGGCACAAAGGAGATGATATTCTAATGGAACAAGGACATGGCTGAGAATAAATTTAAGCCGGAAAACACGTGTTTTCAGCTTGTCTGCAAAGCCCGCTGGAAGCTACAACACCCTATTACAATGGCAAGTTACAGATGATCTTTGAGAAAGCTGCTGTGGTGACTTGGTTTGACAATAGTGATCGAGCTGCTCTGTGACACGACGGCGAGGTGATAGTTCTTATCGTTTATGGTAATGGAGAAAAAATAGCAGAGTAATATTCAGATTGCATGCTTAGAAAGTTGGTATATTTTCTGTGTTTCCAGAGCAGTGTCTTACTATGTGTAAGAGGAAATCTTGTTAAAAAATACATAAAAAAACAGTATACTAACGGAGTATTGAGGTTGATATAAAATATTATGTACATGTATGGCACCTAGAAATGATTACATTACCAGCTTAGCGCAGGGCAGGACATGTCCTACTTCACTCAGCTTCTGAACGGAAAGACGGGACAGGAAACATGCATTTCATGGCACAGACTTAGCAGTTAGAGGTATGATTGGTCGCAAGGAGGGACAACGCTCCATCTCCCTTCACACGAGGAGGGCCAAAGGCAGCCTTGGACTTGCTGAATATACCACGATCTCAGAGACATTGAGCTAGACGCTACAGAAAGAACTCACAGGCTTTTGCCTCTGGGTGCATTCTATAAATACTGAGCAAGCTACGGCAGGCAAGAGCCGCAAGGAATCTGTCCCGTGATCCACAGGGCTGAACTACTCCCACTGTCAGTAACTCAACTTTCCTGGACATCTGCTCCATCTGCTCAATGGAGAGGCAGCCTCGGCAGGTAAAAACTGTGTGCGGTGCAACTGGTCCCCTTAAAGTCAGGGCAAAAAACACCCACCTGCTTAAAGATCCTCTAGAATTGGCAGAGCGAAAGGGGGAGCAACTGACTGCGTTCACAGCGCTCGCCATTCACATGCAGACAGGACATACGGAGAGAAATACAGAGCATCGCACCCAGAACCGCGGGGCATTCGCCTGGCTATGAGGTTACTTTGCCATCAGTTTTCTAGTGGAATGTATTTAGTAAACGACACGACTTGTATGTTAGCCTAAAGTTCTCACAGTAAGTGCAAATAGCAACTTTGCTTAGGAAAAAAAAAAAAGACTGCAAAAAGCTTGGTCTCACATCACTAACTTTACAGCGCGGTGCCCCACTTGGAAAGATTTAGCTTGTATTCCCATTGAAATAATAACCCTGGTATTTCCCCCTGCAAAATGTTGGCTGTTTATCAGCACGCTGCCTACCCAGGGCTTTGCTGGCCTCGTGTACCAGCATCCTTCAACTGTTGGTGGAAAACCTTTGAGGAAAGTCAGTGGAATGAAATATGTGAAGTCTTCTCAGCTGCCGCTGGGTGAAGCCTGGTAAAGAATCTTCAGCTGGGCTCTGATAAGTTCAGGTAAGATCAGTGGGCTCTAGAATGAAGCCGAGAGGCTTTTCCACACATTTCATGCCCCGACTGCGTCATCAGGGCAGTAGTTCTCAAACTGCTGCAGCCAAATCCTCCAAGTCCACCCAACGGCCACCACAGCCATCGGTTTGGCAAGAGCCACTTCTGAACGCCGGCCTGAAACCCCAGCAAGTTTCCCCATTTCCTCCCCTGTGTGAGGCCAGGCCCACACAACCGAATCTGCCCTTGCACAGCAATCCAACGGGCAAAGAAAACAAAACAAGGTTACTACGGATGAGTCAATTGAGCCTAAACTGTTAGATTTGCAAGATAAAAACCAACAAGGCTCGATTATTCTGTTACAAGGCAAGTTATTGATACTGGAGTGTCAAGTGAACTGCACGGTGGAGCATTCCGGGGCATTCACATTAGAGAAACCTGTACAAATGACGTGGTTGAAAGACTTACCCGGTGTTTCAGACATGATCTAGGCTGCCTGCTGAATTGGAAAATAAGAAGTATCAGTGCACAAAGCTAAACAATAATAATTAAAAAAGTTTAGAAGCTGTTCTGCAAAGAAGCTGCTCACATCAAAGACCTCAGCAAACTATCACATAGACTGACGACAGCAAGCGGCTTTTCCAACAATGTTCACCTGTACGAGATTTGCAACACCCTGGTTTTTCCTGCCTTTCCCTTCCCGAAGATCCTGAGTTAGGCTGCAAGAGAAAACCTGGAAGGTTCCAATAGAGGGAAGGATGGGGCAGGAGAGGAGGCAGGAGGGAAGCACTGAATCCCCAGGCAGCCAAAGCCTCCCGGAGCTCCTCAGAGCGGGCAGGAGGAGTGTTCAGTGGGCCGGGTCGCTCACAGGCACCCACACTGATCCTGAGGGGATCTCTGGGGGCAGGACTGCAAGTGAACCAGAGCCAAACGGGGTTCCCATTCACAGGAAAGCACCTCAAAGGTACCTCACCAGCTCCACCTCATCCCCAGCAGCTTAAATCCTCCAACCACACCAAGTGGGCAACACAAACACGTAGAGACTGAAGCCTTGGACGCCTCTAAAATCATCCTCAAGAGCCAAGCAACCCCTTGGAGGGGAACACGAAGCGCTGGCTTAAGGAGCCCGGTGGCGCCAGCTCTTGGAGCCTCTGGGGAACACACATGGAAGGCGAAAGGTGCTGATTGTCGGGGCAGGCTGGGAACAGCTTCACGGGGCTCTTTTAGTCACATCCTCGCTGGAACCAAAGGAGTGCAACGTTTGAGAAAGGATCCACAAGCTGCTTAGCTTTAACCTATAACCGTGAGTATTGACTCTCGTTATTCCACTGTGACCTCAGGAGCGAGTGCTCTGCTGTGGCTGGGGGCTACTCTGCTGGTTTTACTCTTTTCGTCATGATTATTGACCACGTTGCTAATGAAGTTACCAACAACAAACTCCAGATACACCTGGAAAAATCCACTGCCTCAAGGTCTCAGTTTTAGCAAGCGACTGATGTTCTACCCATCATCTGTTTATAAGCAACCTCTGCAGACTTGCTATGCTCCACAGATACAAAATATATATATATTTAATATATATATTTAATATAGAGAGAAACATTCTGAAGTAATTTGATAAAGAAAGATTGTGCTTTTGTTTTCATAGCAGATATGTAATCACTGCACGTGCTTGGGAAAGCAGAGCGCACTGCGAGACCTGTGAAGTTCAGCCACCCAGGAGGGGATCAAAGGAATGTCAATATGTAAGTGCAAATAAAAGAGGTGCTTTCAGCACGCACTCAGATGCAACCACTGAATTATTTAGAGATTTTTGATTTTCAAACAGAACTGTTAAGACTAACTCTACATAAATCTTTGACAACAAAGATCTGAAGAGAGAATTAACAGATTTAGTGTTCCTGGAGATATTTCATGGCCCATTAATAGGAAAGCAGCTTTTCCCTGGGCGCAACAGGCAATATATTTGGATTTGGAGTTTCTTACTTCCTATCCATCCTCAACTTCTGAGCTTCTTAGTTTTCGATATTCAATAAAGAGAAGCTATTTTCATGACTCAAACCCAAGGAAATGCCAGCATCTTAAAGAAACACCTCAAGCCTTCAGAACGGCTTAGTACACTACGTGGTAAACCAGACCCATCAGGAGTGATCCTGCAGAAACTAGCACTCGATCTGCGAGCGCGGCATTCTGCGCAAGCTCAGCGAGTGCCTGTGTATTTCCTGCATCTGTCTTTCCTGCATTTGCCTTATCCTGTCCTTCTGCCACATGAGATTCTGCGGCATGGGGTACCTCTGGGTGCCCTGCAAGCACCTGAAAGGGATCCTCACGTGGCAGGCTGTGGCCCTGCAGCGGGGCTGCGGCATCGGGGGCAGGAGCATCCAGCGCTTTCTCTCGGCGCAGTAGCGATACGCCTCCTTCCTGTACTGCTTGTCGATATCGTCGCTGTTCTTCCAGCCCCCGATGATGAAAACGTCCTCTTTATAGTAACAGATGGCAGCCCCTTCGATGCTAAGCACCTCGGGGGGTAAACTTTCCAGGATTTCGTCCGAGGCCCTGCCCGAAATCTTTGACTTAGCTTCTTCGTTGTCGATGGGGTAACTCTTGGGGCAGCAGGACGCGGTGTGGTAAAAATTGGTGTTGGCAACAGACATCTGGAAGGAGCAGTAGTTATCAATGAGTGGCAGGGACTCCACGTCTTGCCACTGCCTTGTTTCGGCATCGTATCTGATGATAACCGCCTTCAACCCGTCCTCGCTGTCGCTGTCGACCGGGGTACGGGCAGCAACGTAAACATAGCGATCTTCTACAGACACAGCTTTGACGTCGCGCAGAATCTTCGGGGCCGACTCCAGGTTAAGCCACTTGTCTTGCTCGGGATTATAAATGGCCACATCTTTGAAGCCAGGGCTGAAATTGCCGTGCCCACCGATACTGTACAAGTTCCCTTTCACTTCTGTAAGGCCGAAAGAGTGTTTTCTGGTTATCAAGTTGGAGACTTGCTCCCAAATGTTTCTGTTCGGGTTGTACCTCTCCACAGTCTTGGCAAAGCCTGGCTCCATGGAGCCAGCCACGTAAACGTAAGACTCTGTGACGGCAACGGCGTGCCCGTCGAGGTGGTTGTGTATGTGTGGCAAGTTCACCCACCTGTCCTCATCGAGGAAATACCCCACGCACTCGCTCAAGTAATCCCCTCCCTCGGACACGCCGCCGATCACCATGATGACGTCCATGTTCTGCCCGAAGCGAGGCAGCGACGCCAGGGGACACGTGGCAAGCTGCAGGTTGCCGGAGCGCAGGTTCTCCGAGCGCAGGGCATGGCTTTCCACGGCCTCGGCCACCAGCTGGGCGCAGGCGTCGTTGCTGGACACCAGCCGCTCGGATTTGACGTGGCGAGTGAGGTACGTGGGCTTCATCTGCGACAGCCTGAGCAGCTTGAAGAGCTCTTCGAAGTACCTCTCTCTCTCGCTGGGATTCCTCTGCACCCACTTCAGGACGGTCTCGAAGAGGATTTCTTCCGAGTCCACCGTGATCTCCGAGTCCGAGAGCCAATCCCTGAGCAGGTGGAAGGGCAGCGTGTAGAACTCCTCGTCCTGGATGACCCTGTGGAAGTTCCTGCGGATCATGTCCTGCGCCTTGAGCGCCAGCTGGTTGAGGGAGTACATGTGGGCCAGGCTATGCACGGCCACGCAGTTGGACAGGTTGAGCTTCTTCTTGAGGAACTCGCCGCAGAACTCCTTGAGGCGCGTGAGCAGGAACCTGCGGAGAAAGGCAGGGGCGTGAGGCGCGGCGGGACCGGGGGGTGGCCTGCCCGGCCCGCGCTCACCTGTCCGCCATCTCCAGCACCTCGTGGACGTTGCCGGGGCTCACGCGGATCGTGCCCGTGTACATGAAGCCCACGACGGCCTCCACCGTGTCGGGGTCGGGGCCGCCCTCCGAGCTCCACTTCTGCAGCTCCACGCGGCCCGAGCGCGACTCGGCGAAGCCTCCCGAGAGCAGCGGCGTGAAGTACTCGGTGGCGGCGGCCAGCACGGAGCGGTGCGCGCGGTACTCGCGGGCCGCGCCGGGCCGCCCGCCGCCGAAGGCCAACGTGATGTCGCAGTAGAGGCCGTGGCGCCGCTGCTCGTTCTGGCGCCACGCCAGGTCGGAGCAGTGCGCGGGGCAGCCGAACTCCTCGGCCTCGGCCTCGCCGTCCGCGCC